CACGGAGTCAGTGCGACAAACGCGGAACTATCGTCACCAAGCACTTTCACATTCGTTTGCTTTCTAGCCCCGATAGGACGAGGCAATTTAACAGATTGTTATCACAATGTTTCTTAGCTAAGCTAAGGCCACACAAATTTCATTAAAATTTTGACGACTGATAGATTGTCAGCGACGCTTGCGAAGAAAAGTGTTTTAGATTCGTTTCAGTATCCCGCCCATAAATAAACAAAAGAGTGATATGTCGATATTTTGTATTTTATTAATTTGATTTGTTTTTCTATTAAAATACGCTATAACAGAAAATAAACAGGAGTAGGGCCGTAAGATTTGCGATATTTGCGTTATTAGGACACGATTATTGCCGAATATTTAAGAAAAATAAACACCGAATTTGCACGCGTAGGTAATAATGTTACGATATCGAAGATTTCCTCATTCAATCTTTTACCAAATGTTAAAGATTATATCAACTCATAAATATGCATATCACCAGCTGACAACTAGTACGTCCACTGATCTGTATAAATGGATAGGAGATTGTTCGAAATTTACAATTTTTGTTCCGTTAAATACATTTAAATGTATCACTATCAGTAGATAAGGAAACTCTTCACTTCGACCATCAGCGACAAAATAGCAAAAATCAACACAAAACAGCACATTATAACCTGTCCATTTATAGAGGTCAGTGACAATAATTTACGTCATATTGTAAACTATAGCAATATAATCTTTAAAAACTAATTTGTGATAAGTTATGTTCGAGAAAAAACGATCAATTTCGCAAAACTTTAATAGAATCTATTAGTTCCAATTACTTTGGATTAAATTACGATTTAGCGTGTACTGACATGACTGACATAGCTTGTATACGGTTCTTCATGTCGTAAAAAATTAATCAAAGTGATTGATTGTTTCAACAGAATAAAGTTAACGACCGTTTTACTAACGGGAGTTATCTGTAGTATTGAGCCTCCTAGTTCTTTATACCTGAGTCTTTACTGAAGCAACGAAATTTACACCTTAAATATGATGAGATGGGATGATAATATGTAAAGTTTTTCATCAAATTGGTAAACCTATATGTTAGAAAATCGCCTTCGCATTGTTTAAAGGCTGTACACGGACCAACAAGTTGGAAGCGGCAGCTTTTAGCAACCACAGTCCGTGTATGCCGAACAATACTTCCATACAATAGTAAACAAACTTTCGACTTGTTTGATTATAAATAAACTTTTTAATAAAAAAACAAAACCGACTTCCAAACAAAATACACGAAAAACAAAACAA